CTTGTCCCCCGGTCACGGGGACAGCACCCACCCAACGCGGCGGCCGGTTCAGGCCACACTCCTCAAAGCGCCGAGTAAAGGTCGTGAAAGCCTCTCCCAGTCGAGCCGACTGGACGGGGAAGGGTGTAGAGAAGCTCTGGCTACATCTTCCTTCAAAAGGGATGATGTGAAGGAACAGGTTTGGGGACGACCGACGGCAAGCGGCGTCCCCAGCAGGTCACCGGGAACCTGCCCGTCCCCATCCCCACCCCAGGGCCAGGCCAGAAGACGGCCGGAGATCTCAAAAGAGCAAAAATGTTCATTACCGTGGCAGGCGCGAGCTCCAAATAGACGTTTTAATACCCCCGACTGTAACAACCTGCATTTCTAGACCCACCAAAAGCTCTGCGACGCTTGTCCCTACCGAAATCCAGCCGTCTCCGGAGGGGAACGAGAGCGGAGCCCAGCGGGAGAGGCAAAACAACAGCCTCCACCGAGGCCTCAACCCCGAGCTGGGTTTCTGGGTGCTCTTGAAATAGAAACTGGAGCAAGACACGCCGGGAGAGCCGGGCAAGGCACCCTCCAGGCAGAGGATGCGGCGACCTCTTTAATGCCCACGCAAAGCAGAAGGGACCTCGGTCCACCCGGGCTCCCGATTTAGAAGCGAAGGAAACCGCTGGCGGCGCGCTGGATCCCAGCGAAGGAAAAACCAGCGGAGGTTCGGTGTGAAGGCGTTTCGTGGAGCGGGCCCGGAGTTTTACTCCCAGGACAAAGAAAGAAAGATTACTGAGGCACCAGGAAAGCCCGAGTCTTGGGGACGGACGGGGTTTGAGCAGGTTTTGGACAGTAATTCTTTTAACAAAGTAGATTTTGAAACACCGGAGGGCAAAGTGCCGAAGTCAGCCCCAGACGGAAGCGGCGCGAAAAGAGAGCGGAGCAAAATTTGGAAGACAGGAGGGAAGAGAAGCACCCGAAGGTGAAGCTACCAGCTCCAGAGAAGAGGAGTTGGGATGGATTTGGATGCAGATATCCGACTTCCATCCCGTTGGACAAGGATAAGCCTCGGGGGGGCTGCCCGTGCCTGCAGAAGCCCCTGCTGGAGGCCGTGCCGGGGCCGGGCGCAAGCGCTTTCGGAGCCTTCGTGCCCCCCTCTTGCTGCCGTCGCTCCATCTGCCTGGATTTTACAGAAATCAGGGAAGGGGGTCTCGGCACCCGAGGGGTCTGCGCGTGGCCTCGCTCCTGTCTCGGGGACGGAGGAGGGCAGGGAGGGCTCCAACACCCCCGGACGGTAAAGGAGCAGAGGAAACCCACAACCCACGGCTCAGAAATGAACTTTTTGGGTTGACGCAGGTGGTAACTCCCTGCCTGCAGACCCCGGGGCGCCTGCAGGCGACAGGAGATACGGTCCCCGACCTGGGGCAGAGCAAGGACAGCTCGTGAATCGGGCTTGGGAGGTAGACGCAGGCCGTGGGGAACGGCTGCCCAGACGTCTCCCCCCTGTCCCACGCCGCTCAGCCGGGGCAGGACGCGGGCAGGCGGACGAAGGCGGCCGCCCGCTTCGCCTCCTCCTCCTGCTGCCCCACACGCCGGCCCTGTCTGCGTTCCCCCAGTCGTCCCGTCCC